CTGAATTTTTTTATTACATCTGTATGAACATTTTTCTATATAATTGTGATGACGAATTATGGCTAGATGAAATGCAAAAATCTGATTAAATGAGTATTGTCGATTTTAGGGAAAAACACGTCCATAAGTATGAGTGGCCGTTCGTGTCTTTGGCGGTATGAACATACCGTATGAAATTTTCAACGCGTTGGTTTTTACTTTCAACGCGTTGGTTTTTACTTTCAACGCGTTGGTTTTTACTATCAACGCGTTGGTTTTACTTCCAACGCGTTGGTTTTCACTATCAACGCGTTGGTCTTCACTTTCAACGCGTTGATTCGTAATTCATACGGTATGAAAAACCAACGCGTTGGTTTTCAATTCCATACCGTAAGTTTTTCATTCCATACCGTAAGTTTTGTACTTTTGTCGGCCAATCAAAATGTTTCTAACAAAGTATTTTCTAAAAATATCCAGTCGTCATCTAACTATTCGGACAGCCTCCGGATTTTTCTTGGTATTGGCTGTAAAGTATGAATATGGCTGAATCGTCCGCAGCCCGTCTGCAAATGTTGATAAACAGGGCACAAAGATTAAATACAGAAGCAGCAAGACCACAAGTTGTCGAAAATCAAGATGACGATGATTTCTTGTCTGGGTAAGGTCCGGTTAAAGATTTTTGATAAACAAAATTTACGTCAAAACAATATTTCTTTTATTTTTATATATACACGTCCCTGTTATTATTTTATTGATGTGGTGTTGTAACATGTATCAAAAGGACTTGTCTAGTTGGTCAGACGAGTTTTAGATAACTATTTCCATACAATATTAAGTGTTTAGATACAGCTTTTCTTACACGTGTCAGTCGTGTCAGTGTCATCATATTGTGTTGTTATTGTATGTAACCCAAACAATACAATTATGTCAACAGTTTATATCCACAATTATTAAATCGAGAAAAGAATTATTGAGGTCTGTTAGGTTTGATAATTTTGGATGTTAATTTTTATGAAGGCTGTTACTGTATTATTAATATTGTACTGAACTGAACTGATAATTTGCTGATCCTGATTTGCTATCATTTGAGTTATTTTTGGAAAAATATCTTGCAAACTTCAGCCAATGCAGTTATTTTGCCTACATGCTCATTCCCACACAGGTATTTTGCCTAGGGTTAGTTGTCCGCTTGAAATATGGGGTAATTTCTACGACGTTGAATGATATTCCCTATTGGATAACAGTTATTCTGCTTACATGCAGTTACTGCGGGAAAAGGGTGTTATTTTTTATGGTGTTTACTATAGTAAAGTATAATATTGACTGATGTTTAAAGTTTTTACCTAGTTAACGTTAAATTACAATGGTGCTAAACTGCTAATGTTTATTTATAAATAGTGTGTATATGGTTTACTTAAAAAAAAAATTGATACACAGGCCTACAGAAGGGTTCATAAATATGAATTTAAAAAAAGAAATGATATTTAAGTCTTGCTTTATATATTATATTTTGTCAACTGTTATCTTCGGTATTCCAGTATTGTGGTAACCAAGTTCAAGTGATCCGTATGACCCATTATCAGAGAAACCCCTGTGATTAAAATTGAGAATGGAAATGGGGAATGTGTCAAAGAGACAACAACCCGACCATAGAGCAGACAGCATCTATAGGTTACACATGCAGTCATGAGTCGTGTACATTTACAATGTACATTTACAATGTACACATGTAACAATGTCATGAATCATTGAATGTAGATAAATGTAATTGGATACCAGTTGGTGCCGAACTGTTTCAGAGTTTGTCTGACCGCAAATAGAAACTTGATCTTTTCTACTACATTTATATTTGCAACTAAATCTAAAAATTTCTGTTTGACCGATTAATTTTATGTCTGACAGTTTGTCAGTCAGACAGAGTTTGCAACTAATTGGTAAATAAAAATAAAATAATGTAAAATATATTTTTATTTGATCGTAAATGATATTTCAGATTTCAACACTTCAGACGAAGTCATGAATCAAGACTAAGAGCAGGGTCATCCAGGAAAAAGAAAAAACCTATGTACTCCTTCAAAGTGACATGTTTGGACAGTCCAGAGTATCAAACTATTAATCCTACCAATGTGAAAGCAATGAATGAAAAGCGATTAGGTAAATAACTATGTAATTATAAAAATAAACTGTTGACACAGTTGACTGTATGCAACTTTGAAAGTTTAATGCAATTGTTTGAAATAAAAAAACAACACATAACATGTAAACTATGGAAAAATTTGACTGACAATGTGAGGCCTGCCCCAAATAAATTTTAAGGAAACAAAATAAACAAATGCTTACACAACTTAATACTAGATTTCACAACTTGATACTGTACATGCTGTATGGTGACCTATAGTTGTTAATTTCTGTGTCATTTGGTCTCTTGTGGAGAGTTGTCTCATTGGCATTCATACCACATCTTCTTTTTTTATAATTAATACAAGATTTCACAATTTAATACTAGATTTTAATGATTTCACATCATTGGTTTCCTTTATAACTTAACCCTAGACTTTAACAAATAAGCCATGAAAAAATTCCAAAGTCAATGAACCATGATTGGGTGACTGAGGGGTTGTGGTAAAAATATCTCCATGGAAATGATATTTGCCAAATTGCTAATGCTAAAATAAAAACATGTGAAATGTCATTGACTTATTAACAGGAATTTCCCTTAAATAATAAATTAAAAATGATGGTTTTGCAGATCAAATTTTATGAGTGATTTTGATGACAGAATAGGTCACCGTAGGGTCTTCATCAATAAGCAAAGCCAATACTGCATAGTCAGCTATAAAAGGCCCAGAAATGACAAATTTAAACGAGAAAATTAACGGCTTAATTAATGTACAAAAAAATGAAAACACAACAACATAACAAACGACAACCACTGAATTACAGCTTATTTTTAGCTCACCAGGCCTGAAGGGCCCCATGTGAGCTTATGCCATCACTTTGCGTCCGTCGTCGTCGTCTGTCGTCGTAAACTATTTCAAAAATCTTCTCCTCTGAAACTACTGGGCCAAATACCTCAAACTTTAAATGAATGTTCCTTTGGGTAAATGAGAAAAATAGTATTGATCTATCTGCATGAACATGTTCAGAACAATGACCCCCCCCCCCCCCCCCCCCCCCAAAAAAAAAGGTATTACTTTCTAAAGGCTTATTAATTATTGAAATCACCTTGTAAAAATTGAGTTCTAACCAAATAAAAAGATTATGCCTGCTTTCACAACATCAATATCTATTTCAGGTTATCGTCCTATTAAGATTGAAAGATCTGCAACAATAAATAAACTGACAGAAAAAGTCATGTCCATCTTTAAGTTTACATGTGCTTTCAAATATATGAAAGCAGTGAGAAATACCATCAATATATGTGAGCTTAAAGAATTGCAAGTCACTTCAACAAAGGATGTGAAATCCAAAATAGGCAGGTCAAACCTGTATATTTTACCAGCAGAAAAGGTGATTTTTACCAGTAAAATATCAAAAATTGGTGCATGAAGTTTAGAGAAAACCCATTTTCAATATATTTTTCCCCATGTTATAAAAGCAACATTTCAAGACATCAAAAACTTGTATTGCTTCTTTACCATTTTACATATATCATGTATATGGCACATGGGGTTACAATTAAAGGTGACACTTTGTCCTTTCAAGGTCACTATACATGGTATGCAACACATCATATACATGTACATGTAACTAAATAATATATGCTAAACATTATAATTATAACATTCATATAAGGCTTGATAACACTTTAAAAGTAGTATATATTCAGTATTCTAAAAATGTGTTTTATGGAAGAATTAATCATCAGAGAGCAGTAAAGTAAAAGCTCTATTTTTATTGTATCACTTTCATAGCTGAGCTGACGCACTAGGATTGGTATCATGAAATTTACATTGCTTCTTTTTTTCTGCTTTTATTTTAAAGATACACTTGTGCATGCTATTTAACTTCTCATTTAACTTTTCAGATAGGCCAGAAGTCTCATGAAGAGAGCAGTGACGAGTCAGGAAGCAGCTTGCCTAACCCCCATTTGGTGGGTATGACTTTCTACGAGTTAGAAAATAAAATAAAGTATCCTTCTATCTATTTATAAAGATAAAACAAACTTCTATCTATTTATAGTTTAAAATAGAAAAGAAAAATGGATTTATCAAACCACCCCTTAATTTGTAAAGGGGGGGGGGATATTTTGTATCCACAATTCTTCTTTGATATTTTATTAAAATTTTCTTTTAGTTTTAATTATAAAGTGACATTAGGCACTGTCTATTTCATTTTTATAGTGTGTTTCGGTCTCTGTGTCTTCGTTCATTTGTCCATCTGTCCTTCTTCAGATTATATTTTTTGTTCTTTTTGATGAAGTTGAACCAATCAACTTGAAACTTAGGACACATGTTCCCTATGATATGATGCCAAATGAGAGTTTTGACCCATATTTTACAGTCCACTGAACATAGAAAATGATAGTGCACACTTTTTAGTCAATGTATTTATAAAGTTTAAAGTCCAAGCAACTTGAAACTAAGTATATATGTTCCGCATGATATTTTTAATTTTAATGTTAATTGAGAGTTTTTACTCCTATTTCACGGTCCACTGAATATTGAAAATAAAAGTGTGAGTTGGGCATCCATGTACAATGGACACATTCTTGTTTCTTAATCTTTTTTATTTTTGCAAGGGGCGGATGTATAATTTTGTGAGCTCATATTAATGTAAACAAATATGAAATATCTAGGACACAAAACAACCTGCATCTATATATTGTATCTAATACAGTACAATAAGAGATAAAAAAAAAGTTGTCTTTAACTGCAGTACACAGTAATGAAAACAAAATGTTGAAATTATTTGTAAACAATATTACTGGACTACTCATATTTTTATTATACATGTACAAATTTAGATTGCAAACTTTGGTAAATATGTTGATTATCATTTGGTTTCTTTTGACAGGATGCTATACCACAAAGAAGATCAAGGTTGGGTCATAGAAATAATGTAAGAATAAGTCTAGTATAATGATATTAAGTTAAAAGTTAAATCAAAGATTTTTTTTTTATAGAAAATCCCAAATAGGGTTTTTCATCAACACACAAACATACTAATCAGGACAATCAATTTATTCGTGTTCAAATGTAGTTTATATTTATATCAATACAAAACATTAAATCTTGTATTTTTTACCTTACTAGACCAAAAGGGTCAGGTGTGCGTTTGCCTTCACTTGGCATTATATGTCATTGTAAACTGTTTAAAAAATCTTCAATGTACCTATTAGACCAAATAATATCAAGTTCCACCTGACGCTCCTCATGGTTATAGTCTGAAAATTTGTTCCATCCTGTTTATTAATGTTAATTTTTGTTATACAATTTAATTAGAAAATTTTGAAGAATCAAAAATTTGGTCCTCAAGGACCAGTGACTCAAAAACAGTATAAGTTTTTGATATCATAATAATAATATCAATAATATCATCTATAAAAAAAAACTGAAATTGAGTACAGATTAGTTTCTTAAATTATTGTTATTTAAACCCTAATCATAGAAAAAACCAAAATTCCTCCCTCTTTATTATTACCCTCCGCAATGAACCCACGCAACGAGGTTGCGGAGGGTATAATGTTTTTGACCCGTCCGTCCGTCCGTCTTGTTTCTTGTCATCGCAACTCCTCTCAAACCACACAACATAATTTCATGAAACCTTTTTAGATAATAAGGACATACTATGTAGTTGTGCATATCGACAGGAAATTACGATTCATTTTTTTCTAGGAGTTACGCCCCTTTGAACTTGTTTGCTTCAATGTACTACTGCAACAGTTTGTCATCACAACTCCTCTGAAATCACACCACAGAATTTAATGAAACTTTGTAGATAATAAGGACATACTATGTAGATGTGCATTTCGTCAGGAAATTACGATTCAATTTTTTCCTAGGAGTTGCGCCCCTTTGAACTTATTTGCTTAAATGTACTACTGCAACAGTTTGTCATCGCAACTCCTCTGAAACCACACAACAGAATTTCATGAAACCTTTTTAGATAATAAGGACATACTATGTAGATGTGCATATCGACAGGAAATTACGATTCAATTTTTTTTCTAGGAGTTACTCCCCTTTGAACTTATTTGCTTCCATGTACTTCTGCAACAGTTTGTCATCGCAACTCCTCTGAAACCACATAACATAATTTCATATAACTTTGTAGATAATAAGGACATACTATGTAGATGTGCATATTGACAGGAAATTATGATTCAATTTTTTTTTCTTACACTTATTTTATTTCTCCAATGACAATGTGGGGACGTGGGGTATGTGAGAGCGCTTACTAAGGTTCTTTAATTATGGATGAAATAACCAAAAAAAGTGTTGTGCTTTGTTACAGATTAAAGTGTAAGTAAAACCATATTGAATATATAAATATATATACAGTTATATATAAATATATATACAGTTAACTCTTTTTGTCTTGATTTTGGTTGACTTGAAAAAGTGTGGTCCCAAACTTTGGTCTATTTATAGTTCCATATATGACATATCTGAGAAAACATTTTAGTTCTATGTAATTTTACTCAAAATGTGTTTTAGCATGTTATTAATGTTACTTTTGTATGCAAATATTTTGAAGCAATACATATCATTCTTGATAAAAGCAACATGAAATGTATAAAAACAGCATGAGAAAAAAAAATATATTCAATTTTATAAACATCAAAATGAAAATATGAGAGGTATTAAAGGATAAAATTGTTTAATTCATGGTATACATTTGTAAATGAAACTTCTTAACAATGCTCTTTATATTATTTTTTTTTAATAAACTGGAACTTGAATTAAGATAAGGTAAATGTGTAAAATAGTATAATTGTTGGTAACAATCCGTTCAAGATAAGTACTTTATATTTTTTTTTATATTTTACCACTTTATATTTTTTTATATTTTCCCTAGAATATAAAATATAAATCCTCATGATCATATGCATGACTATATTTTTTAGGATTTGACTGATGAAGATATGCTTCCACCAATTACTGTACCAGTAAGACAGAGGCTGGTAATGTATATTCAAACATTTTATTGCTGGAATATAAAGAGAAAAAAATTGCATAACACTATCTGACCATCTAAATAATGCAGAGAAAATGTGAAAGTATCAAGAAACTAGAGTTTTTATATGACCGTCTGAGAGGGGATGTATTATTTCTTATGTTATATTAAAACAACATTAGGATTGGCTGAAGAAAAGTGTCTTTCTATTTAGTTATATCATTTCAGAGTTATGGGACTTTAATTATTTGAAAAAAGGCAATTTTTCACATTTTGCACATTAAATTTAGTACAATATTCAGGTATTCATAGATTGATTTCCTTGAAACTTTACATTATTGTCAGGTGTATCACCAGTTTGTATTTCTTGACATAAAGTTTGATGCAACTTTGAGGTCACATTCAATTGACATGTAATAAATGTGGTGCTGTATGGTAGGCTGAAGCTGACTATCTATAAGATAACTTAGGAACCATTCAACAAATTTGTTTTCAAACTTAAATACATAATGCTTATAAATGTTGTTACTTGGGACAAAATAGGGAATAAGTTTTTTTTTTCACTTTTACTGTTCCACTGAGTTATAGTTCTTGAAATATTGCACTATCCAAATGATTTAAACTCTTTCTGGTCAGCCAATGCGGATTAGGCCTGTGTGAATCCTTTCGGTAGAGTCCATGAAGTGGGTACCTTGGTATGTTTGGTTGTCAAATAGTACAAATGAATGCAAAACTTAAATTATAAACAAAAATTGACAACACCACAGTGGCACTCAAAATTTTGTGTAGTATGGTCTACATGTGTCCCCTGCCTTAAAGTGTTGTCAATTTTGATTATTATCCTGATAAATGTTAACAAAAAACTGATAAATGCCTTCTGACAGGCCTTGTTCAATTTTTTTTATAATTTTTTTCTAGGATTTGAGTACTGTGGCTGGAGCACCAAATGCTGTGAATAACCAAGATCCACCACAGGTATGTGAATGCAGAGACAGGATATATTCGCATTAAACAGTGTTAAAGTTAATAGACCATCAAAATAATACTTTTGTATGGGAATATATTTCTGGTTTTCAATTCATTTCTTTTTGAAAAGTTTTCTTAAAGAACATTGTTACAAGAATAACTTTGAATGACTAGTATACTGGTAATTGAATTGTAAATCTCTTTTAGGTATCCAAAAATAACTCAGCAGGTACAAGAAGCACACTATCAACATCAAGAAGGAGAAGACTGTCAACACCAAGAAGGCCTAGAAGAAGTACAGCAATCAGGAGTGGAACACAGGTATAAACATGATAAAGTCAATCAATAGCAGATTCCAAACAATTCGGAAAGTAAAAGGAATGTCTTTCTGCAGTTTACTGGTCAAATGAAAATTATAACTTATTAAGTACACTGGTATGTTTTTGGCTTTCTTGACCCAAAGGACATGAAGGATGGGTTGACCTGTTGGCTGTTGTATTTCAATCACTATTTTATACGATCGCAAACAAATTTTGTGGTCGTATATTGGTATGACGAACGTCGTCCGAAGACACATTGGTTTTCGCACTCTAACTTTAGTTTAAGTTAATGGATCTCTATGAAATTTTACCATAAGGTTCAATACCACATAAGGAAGGTTGGGATTGATTTTGGGGGTTAAGGTACCAACAGTTAAGGAATTAGGGGCCAAAAATAAGCATTTTTGTAACTTCCAGACATAACTTGTGTGTTAGTGTATGGATCTCTCTGACATTGTACCACAAGGTTCCATATCATAAAGGGAATGCTGGGGTTGATTTTGGGGGTAATTGCCTCAAAATTTTAGGAGTTAGGGGCAAAAAATAAGCTTTTTTCTAGTTTCCTGACAATAACTTGTGTGTAAGTGTATGGATCTCTCTGACATTGTACCACAAGGTTCCATATCAAAAAGGGAAGGCTGTGGTTGATTTTGGGGGTAATTGCCTCAAAATTTTAGGAATTAGGGGCCAAAAAAGGGGAAAAAAACAAGCATTTTTCTAGTTTCATGACAATAACTTGTGTGTAAGTGTATGGATCTTTCTGAAATTGTACTACAAGGTTCCATATCACAAAGGGGAAAGCTGGAATTGAGTTTGGGGGTAATCGCCCAAAACGTTTAGGAATAAGGGGCCAAAAAGGGGCAAAAAATAAGCATTTTTCTAGTTTCCAGACAATTAATTGTGTTCAAGAGTATTGATCTCCTGAAATTGTACTGCAAGGTACCATATCACAAAGGGAAGGCTGGGATTGATTTTGGGGGTAATTGCCTAAAAATTTAAAAAAAAAGGGGCAAAATAGGGGCAAAATACAAGCATTTTTCTAGTTTCAGGACAATAACTTGTGCGTAAGTGTATGGATCTTTATGAAATTGTACTACAAGGTTCCATATCACAAAGGGAAAACTGGGATTGAGCTTGGGGGTAATCGCCCAAAACGTTTAGGAATTTGGGGCCAAAAAACAGGCATTTTTCTAGTTTCCAGACAATAACTTGTGTTCAAGTGTATGGATCTCTCTGAAATTGTACTGCAAGGTACCATACCACAAAGGGAAGGCTGAGATTGAGTTTGGGGGTGATGAATCATAAGGGGGTTCAAAAAAATTGGGGGAGGGATTTTTTTTTCCTTTTTTTTTCTTTAAAATTTTCCATTTTAAATTGTTTATTTCTGATTTATATATAAAAGCAAATAATAATGATATGGTTTGAATAGGTAAATTAAGAAATTTTATGTTCTTGGACCACATTCATTCTGTTTCAGAAACCTATGCTGTGTCAAATATTTAATCACTATCCAAATTCAGTGCTGTATCAAGCTTGATTGTTGTGTCCAAACTTGCCCCAACTGTTCATGGTTCTACCTCTGCGGTCGTATCAAGCTGCGCCCAGCAGAGCATTTTATTTGCTCATTTGCAGAAAAAGCGGAAAGTTATTGACAGTCATCACAAACACACTATATTTTTTTATATATATGGCAGGTTAGAATTGTTAATAGATACTCAGAAGGTGTGGTATGAGGGCCAAAGAGACAACTCTCCATCCAAGTCACAAATTATAAAAGTAAAGCCTTTATTGACAATTTTTTAACAGAACAATTTTTAGCTCACCTGGCCCACAGGGCCAAGTGAGCTTTTCTCATCACTTGGCGTCCGTCGTCCGTTAACTTTTACAAAAATCTTCTCCTCTGAAACTACTTGGCCAAATTTAACCAAACTTGGCCAAAATCATCATTGGGGTATCTAATTTAAAAAATGTGTCCAATGACCAGGCCAACTAACCAAGATGGCCGCCATGGCTAAAAATAGAACATAGGGGTTAAATGTAGATTTTGGCTTATATCTCTGAAACCAAAGCATTTAGAGCAAATCTGACTGGGGTTAAAATTGTTTATCAGGTCAAGATCTATCTGCCCTGAAATTTTCAGATGAATGGGACAACCCGTTGTTGGGTTGCTGCCCCTGAATTGGTAATTTTAAGGAATTTTGCCGTTTTTGGTTATTATCTTGAATATTATTATAGATAGAGATAAACTGTTAACAGGAATAATGTTCAGCGAAGTAATATCTACAAATAAGTCAACTTGACCAAAATGGTCAGTTGACCCCTTAAGGAGTAATTGCCCTTTATAGTAAATTTTTAACCATTTTTCGTAAATTTTTGTAATCTTTTACAAAATTTTCTCCTCTGAAACTACTAGGACAAATTTAACCAAACTTGTCCACATCATCATTAGGTTATCTTGTTTAAAAAATGTGTCCGATGCCCCTGCCCGCGAACCAAGATGGCAGACATGGCTAAAAAAAAGTACATAGGGTAAAATGCAGTTTTTGGCTCATATCTCTGAAACCAAAGCATTTAGAGCAAATTTGACGGGATAAACTTGTTCAGTAGGTCAAGATCTATCTGCCCTGAAATTTTCAGACCAATCAGGCAACACGTTGTTTGGTTGCTGCCCCTGAATTGGTAATTTTAAGAAAATTTTGCAGCTTTTGGTTATTATCTTGAATATTATTATGGATAGAGATAAACTAAACTGTAAACAGCAGTAATGTAAAGCAAAGTAAGATCTACAAATAAGTCAACATGACCAAAATTGTCAATTGACCCCTTAAGGAGTTATTGCCCTTTATAGTCAATTTTTTACAATTTTCGTAAAATTTTTTAATCTTTTAGAAAAATCTTCTTCTCTGAAACTACTGGGCCAAATAGAATCAAACTTAGCCACAATCATCATTAGGGTATTCAGTTTAAAAAATGTGTCCGATGACCCTGCCTGCCAACAAAGATGGCCGGGATGGCAAAAAATAGAACATATGGGGTAAAATGCAAGTTTTGTCTATTATTCTGATAACCGTTATAAAAAGAGGAAATCTGAAGAGAGTAAAATTGTTCAGAATGTTGAGCTCTACCAATTATCCATATACGTCAAAACTGTTAGACAATTTCTTGTAGGAGTTATTGCCCTTCAATTGCAAATTTTACCACTTTTTTTCAATTTATACCTATTATCATATCTTGAAAACTATAAAAGATAGAGAGAAACTTTAAATTGCAAAAATGATCAGAAGGACAAGTTCTTCAAATAAGTCTTATGGTTGAAATCATCAGTTGACTCCTTATTAGAGTTATTTCCCTTTGATGCCGATTTGTACAATTTTTTTTTCGTTTTTGTCTTATATCTTAAAACTTATAATAGATAGAAATAAACTTAAATATACAAAAATGATCAGCAAGAAAAAATCTACAATGAAGACAAATGGCAGAAATTGTCCAACGACTCCTTATTGGAGTTATTGCCCTTTAGTTATGAATTTTACCATTTTTCTGGCGTTTTTCATTGTATGATATTAATTATAATAGATAGATAGAAACTTAAATAATCAAAAATGATAAGCAAGACGAGACCTACTAACAAGTCAAATTTTGCTGATATAATAAGTAGACTGTTAATCTTTATAGGAGTTTTTTTACCCTCTTTTGTGTTTAGAGCAAAAGCTAAATAAGATCATGAAGATAGAGAGAAACTAAACAGACTTCAATGATGAGCAATATAAGATACAAAAAAAAAACAGAGATTTTTGTCATTAATTCTATTCTCGTCTACAATGTTGGAGAGTGTCCCTGTTGAATATGCATATAGACCAAGGTGAGCGACACAGGCTCTTGAGAGCCTCTAGTTTATTTATCTTGACGATGATTAATAAAAATTGATTTAAAAGAAATGGTGTTATGCCATGAACCCCCCTTTTTGAACACATCTTGCTGTGTTGTTATGAAGTATAAATGATAATACCGATAGATCTGTGAAATTATATGCTATGAAAATGAGTTTATTTGATATGCTGATTGTGCTAATATTAATTGTCATGATTGAATTCTATCGTGTTTCAAGCGATCAATGTTATGACTGGAATTTATTCACGGTGACAAATTTGCAAATTTGTCCACGGAGTGCTTTTAACTTTAGTTCTGTTGTTTATTTGAAATATTAACCTTTTAAATGTATTATTAAGTTATTCTGTATGTGTAAAAACCGTCAGGGTGAATAAATGTGTTGTTTCTTATTGAAATTAAGCTGGAAAACATCTTTATTTACACAACACTTCCAGTGTTTACATTTTGAGTTAACATTTCGGGAATTTCCCTTAACAGAAAGAAGGCTGCTGATTGGTTCAACATATGTAAAAGCATCTGTGATTGGCTGTTTGTGGAATAAAACTAAAAAGATCAACTACGGAGGGCAGTGATTATTTGTTGTTTGAAAGTTACAGAGTGCAATATTTAAAATGTCTTAGAATTTAAATACGATAGGAAAAGTAAGGAAATTGCACCTATATTAACAATGATTTATTATAGATGCAAGTTGGTGACATTTCCTAGGTGTAAATGGTTGGGTGAGAATTTAAAGTGTAAATAGTTGGTGATTTGTATCATTGTAAGTAGTCTGTGACTTTGCTAGGTGTAAATAGTTGGTGACTTTTCAAGGTGTAAATAGTCCCTGACTAATTTGGGTGTAAATACTTGGTGACAATTTAGGGTGTAAATTGCAATTGTACCAATATTTTAAGTATTAATGGAATAGTTGTCTTTGTGACCATAATAGCAAGTAGTTTTATACTGATAGTTATTTGAAATAGATGTTGTTAAATTAAGGCTACATGCTTTTATATGTGGCCTTTTAAGGCATATTTGTAAGCCTGTTCAAGCTATACGCTACCTGTAGTTTATAAACTAGTAAAAGTTAACAGAGAGGTGACTGGATAGTTATATATATGATTAATATATAGATTAAATAAGATAGACCAAATATGCCGTGGACCCAACCAGACCAGTGACAGAGCCTGTACAGCCATTCTCTCAGCGGTTTTAATTGTCAAATAAATAATCAAAACTGTTATATGCTATGACTTTTATTTCTCAATCATATATAAAATAGATAGACCTGTAGAACATAGGTTAAATGAAGCTGTAAAGTGTATTGGTTCGACGGTATTCTAATTAGACATCAGGCCTGACATTCCACAGAAATAAATAATACCAGTTAAGAAATCCCTTTTCTATGTAATCTGGGATCTCTGGTGGCCAACTCTTAACACCAGGGAGGCAGCATTATAATATACCACCAAATTTTGGAATAAGTCGCCTTGGTGGTTGAAGTAGTCAGACAAATAGTGTTTACTTTTGATTTACACTACACGAGTAATTCTACTTTTGTAGGAGCAGGAAAATAATGCTGAGTTAAATCAATCAAGCATCATTGATGTAACAGAAGAAACACCCCCAGTAAGTGTTAATTTAGCAAGATTATTATTAGGTCATATTTTACAGGTAAATCTTTTCTTCTTAATAAATGACTTACACTGTTAAATTTGGTTTATTTTTTATTGGTATAATACTATAAAAAACTTGTAACAACCACTAAAATTACAAGCTCCTAATACTAGGGACAGGTATATTTAGCATTTTTCGCAAAGTTAACTTATAGAACCTTCTAAAATAAAAATTGCTAGTATACTGGTGATTGAATGATGAATCTCTTTTAGGTATCCCAAAATAACTCAGCAGGTACAAGAAGTACATTATCAACACCAAGAAGGAGAAGACTGTCAACACCAAGAAGGCCTAGAAGAAGTACAGCAATCAGGAGTGGAACACAGGTATAAACAGGATAAGGTCAATCAATAGCAGATTCCAAACAATTCGGAAAGTAAAAAGAATGTCTTTTTGCAGTTTACTGGTCAAATGAAAACTATAACTTATTAAGTACACTGGTATGTTTTTGGCTTTCTTGACCCAAAGGATGGGTTGACCTGTTGGCTGCTGTATTTCAATCCCAATTTTTTGCTCATTGGCAGAAAAAAACGGAAAGTTATTGACAGTCATCACAAACACTTTATAGTTTTGATATATATCATGTATATGGTAGGTTTGAATTTTAAAGCCTTTATTGACAAGCAAAGGAATAAAAAAAAATACAGAACTATTTTTATTTATTTTAACAAAAATTGATAAACATTGATTTAAAAGAAATATATCAACAAATTTTTGAATAAGTCACCCTTGGTGGTTAAAATAGTGTTTACTTTGATTTACACTACACGAGTAATTCTAATTTTGTAGGAGCAGGAAAATAATGCTGAGTTAAATCAATCAAGCATCATTGATGTACAAGAAGAAACACCCCCAGTGAGTGTTAATTTAGCAAGATTATTATTAGGTCATATTTTACAGGTAAATCTTTTCTTCTTAATAAATGCAGTTTTTGAGCATATCTAATTAACATGTGGTAGTAATATTCATCAGGTCAGATCTATCTGCCCTCAAATTTTCAAATGATTCAGACAACCCATTGTTGGGTTGCTTCCCCTGAATTGGTAATTTAAATGAAATTTTACAGTTTTTGTTTGTTATCTTGAATATTATTATAGATAGGGATAAACTTTCAACAAAATAATGTTCAGCAAAGTAAGATCTACAAATAAGTCAACTAGACCAAAATAGTCAATTGACCTCTTAGGGATTTGTTGCCTTTATAGTCGATTTTTAACATTTTTTTGTAAACTTTTACAAAATCTTCTCTGAAATAACTGAGACAAATTAAACCAATCTTGGCCACAATCATCTTGAGGGTATTAAGTTTGAAAAAAATATGTCTGATGACCCACCTACCAACCAACATGGCTGACATGGCTAAAATAGAACATAGGGACAAAACTTTTGCCACATATATAACAAATCTTAGGATGAGGGAGATATACTTTAGATAATTCATATATGAAATTAATAACAATAAATTGAATGATAATTTTGAATATTATTCCAGGTACTAAGTGAACTGCCTAGTTTGAGAGTTTGACATTTAGATTGTCACACTAGTAAAACAATTTTGTAGTTGATACCTATATAGGCAAAAAAAAACCACCCAATAGTATGCTATTTTAAAAAACGTTTGTTATTGGTTTCTTGTAATTTCTCAATTTGTAATAGGAAGTGGTTGCAGCAGGATATCGCACTGCCACTGGCGACTCACCAACAGTTTTATTTAGAACATCAGCACCACTAATGGTAGATCAGATGAATACCCATTCCATATCAATTCCAAATCAAACAAACAGGTCTCAACAAATCATTGACATAACAAGGTATGTTCTTACAGTCATAATTAATACTGTATAAGTAAATTTCTTGATTTATGTTCTTTAAAATGTTTATGAAAGCATGCCATTATATGTGTCCTATGGACAAATTCTTCTTTTATTTTGGTGTCAAATAGGTTCATTTCAAGTATGAAAAATTCTTGTCAAGATTTGTTTACAATTCCTTGTTCATGTTGATTGTAATGATATTTAAACTAAATATTTCCTATTTCTGTAAGATTACATCATTATCATTAAGCAATCGTAACTAACTCAGCTATTCTAGCCAGGTCAGTATGGCCCTCAACATGGAGTCTTGGCTTACCTGAATAGCAAGCTATAAAGGCCCCTTAATAATCAGTGTAAAACAATTCAAACAGGAAAACCTAATCTATATACAAAACAAGAAACAAAAACAACTATGAACCACATCAGCAAACAACAACCACTGAACAAGAGGCTCCTAACTATTTCCATAGGCACACCAACCTTCACCCCAATCTGAGACAGTAGTGTAAAATAACAACATGAAATGTATATAACTTTGACTTAAGCAATTTAGAGCGTCACTGCCAAAGAATATTTATTCTCTGAATACGATGAAATGTTGAATTAATTAATGCTTTTCCCTTGTTTCCATACTTTTGAACTTTATTGTTTTGAGTTTATAAAAAAAGGTTGTAAAACATTTAAATATCATCATTCAAAAAATATAGAGATTGATAAACAGTGTGATACACATAATAGCCAAGGTAAAAAATATTGTGAACATTTTTCTCATGAGCTACTTTACAAAGCTTTTTGAAATTTGATATTAAGGATTATAACAATGAGTGAGATATACTGTGTTGTATGATTTCAGTGTTATCTGACACCTACTCATTCTGTTTAATGTTTACTTTTAGTTGTGGTATCACAAGTGAGCAGCAGCTCACAGATTCACTTGTTGAACATACATTTATATAAGCTGGTTTTCATAGAGAAAAGAATGTGCTTGAGGTTCATTTGTCAACAAACTGGAGACATAAATTCTCCAATCTTCATATAGGAAACTATGCTCCATATTACATATTTTTTTTCTATTTCAGAGGACTGGATGTTAATGAAACCAATGACAATGGTTTGAATGACTATATACCAGAAACAGCACCATTTGGTGATGTTGGGTAATATTCTATTATTTTGTTATAAACCAACCAAAACTCAAGTAAATATACATTAAAATGTTACTCTGAATCTTTTTTTGGGTAAAAAAGTGTTAAATTAGAAAATGCTACATGAATATATTTTTCTGTCATATTATTTTTGCTCAGGGCAATTCTAGGGTAAATTGTTCAGATCCAAACCACCCATAATAACAAAAAATTATATGAAATGCATTTTAATTTTTTTTTACCACACAGTGAAATTTGGAACAGCTCTCAAAAAAAATAATTAGTAAGAATAGCAGGTTATTTTCATGAGTGTAAAATTTCTCGATAAAGAGGCAACAAAGTACAAGAAAATTTTTGGTGGTTTTTATTTTGGTGGATTCTAAAATTTCAGTTAAATATTTTGGCAGATACTGAAATTGTTGTAGATAAAAATGAGAAGCAAGTGTCTTACTTAATTGACATTTTATTTAAAGAATATATTCTGATACTGAAAAAAAATACCAGTAACATTAAGATATTTGTCACAGGTATACACACTTCTGTTAAATTTTACAGATGAATAGTAACAAAAATGACCGAACCTTTGATGTACTTACTAATTAGGTTAAAAATTATCAAGAGTGATTTACAACTCTAATGTAGTTTGACACTAATAAGTAAGGGTAATTGCCTGATAGAGTACCTTACAATGAATAATAAGGGTACACACCTGACAGTCATTTTATAAAATACATCTGTACAATACCCTTATGTGTACAATACCCTTTGAGCATTTATGTTGGTAACACTAACCTATACCATTATTGACCTGCTGACAGGAATAGAAGAAAATCATTTACTAAACGCTTTAGCTTTTAGAAAGTACAGAACATATAAATAAATTTTCGCAACATTTATTTTTGCTATTTTCATTTATCTATATAGTTTAACATTGTAAGACATCTCAAACCTAGTACATTTATTGTTTGATATCAAAGTAATTTATGAAAAAAATATTGAATTGAAAAGATGTTATATATTTGTTTGGAGACAATGTTATTTATGGTTAGCATTTATATCCTTTACACAGACAAAATCCCTCTGCTGATGGGTTGAAAGATGTTCTGGTTGAACATAGGGAACTGTTCATAAAATCTACATCAGAAGAGGATCCATTGCTGATGGAGGTTCGAAGGGGTTATGTATTGGTGGACTCCATCACCATCATCAGATTCTCAGGAGATGACCTACATAGTCCCTTGAGTATAAAATTTGTAGATGAAGAAGATGCAGACTTAGGTGGTCTTTGGAGCCTTTTGCTTCATAACATTAGTCATTCATGTTATGTAACAGGTAATGTTATTGTTTAGTTAAAAATGGAGATTTAATGACATTTTAAATACCTGAATGTATAAAATACTACTACTAAGTACTTTTGTTTAACATGAGCTTAAATGTCCCACAGAATATAAGAACTGTTGTCTAAATCAAGACTTAAAAAGATTTTCATTACCTCTCATGATCTAGAGAATACATCAAATATCAGGAAATGCACTATGAATACAATATACAACCTCAGACATGATTTTAACTATTCAATCATAAAAAAAAACAAAAAAAAGTTGGTTTCCGCTCTCTAACTTTACTTTGCTTAAACAAAATGTTATGAAACTTAGTTAAAAAAAAGTTAATATTATTTATGTTTATCATACAACAAACTAAAATTTGTACACTCATCTTTTTTTTTTGAATTTATTAAGAAGATTGGTATTCTTTTTTCAGGAAAACCTGGAAGACAAACATTCCAATCTAATTACCTGGAAAAGAAAAAGAAAACATTTTTTCACCTTGGTCAGCTGATAGTCCTGTCAATAATTCAAGACGGTCCTGGTTTGCCCATTTTTTCAGATATTGTAACTGACTACATTATAAATGGGCAAACCTCTGTGATAAATCCTGATGATCTACCTGATGGACTGAAAGATGCACTGGATTGATTGATTGATTGTTGGTTGTTTAACGTCCAGTGGCAAATATTTCATGCATATTCAGGACGAGAACAAGTTCACAATAAATACAATAGGTAGGTTCTGTAATAGATTAAGGGATTAAGGTCGGAGAAATTTAGACTGCCACGGGAAATGAGGGTATATTGGATAGGGACAGAAGTTTAGCTTTGCAACAGGTCACCTACGGACCCCTCAAAGAGTTGTTGCAAGGGTTCTTAACGTGCAAAGAGCGTGGCACTCTCTTTACACGAGGCATCGGATTTAACGTCCCCATTCTGACCGGACGTGGCTGCAAATTTGTACATCCCGCACAGCCATACGGACGCCCCACTTTAGCACGGGTTTTACTGCCGGTCGGAGGAAGACCAATGGTGACCATACTTCTATTCCCCAGTCACCCTTGGGGGTCAGTGAACCATGACTCTTTGAGGGGTCCGTAGGTGACCTGTTGCAAGGCTAAATTTCTGTGCCTATCCAATATACCCTCATTTCCCGTGGCAGTCTAAATTTCTCCGACCTTAATCCCTTAATCTATTACAGAACCTACCTATTGTATTTATTGTGAACTTGTTCTCGTCCTGAATATGCATGAAATATTTGCCACTGGACGTTAAGCAACCAACAATCAATCAATCAATCATGGTTCACTGAATGTAGAAAAATTATATTGAAGGGACCATATAACTTTAAAGAGATAATATATTCTTCTTTTTATGTTGCGAATTTTTAATATGTTGCTGATTATATACAAAAACAGCAGATGATAATGTCATGTATACTGATCTATTTATTTCGTTGCTTTCAGATGCAGAATAGTGCGTCTGATCGAGATGCAAAAGAAGCATATTCATCCATTATGGATATTGCTACAGATATTGGGTTTATAGTACCAATAACATCCTTTACTAAAAAACATGTAAAACCACTGCAAGCAGCTTTTATTGAAAGTCAGATTTCCAGCTGCAAAGATGAGCTAAACCAGTTTATTGAAGGTTGGTTAATCTATAAATAGATTTACAGATAGCATCAGTCATTATTTGAAACATATAAGTTTTGTCACATTTCCTTGACTTCATTTTTATGGTGAATCGGTCAAAATAGTGCCATGTTCATGAAGAGTTTTAATTGAAGATATTTTGATAAACAAACTATGATATTAGAATAATGGGAAATCAGTTATGTATTCTAAATATATAGTCACAAAGAATTTAATTAGATTTGTATTTGATCAAAATCAATTTTCTAATTTTATTGAACTAATGCGATACTTGTAGTAAAACCTTCAAGACAATAACAATCAAAACCAAGGAGTTAACAAAGACTCATAAAACAAAAAGACATTTACATCAGTTAAAATAAATAAGAAACAACACAAACTCCATTAAAAACTGAGAGTGAAATCAGGTGCACCAAAAAGGGTAGGATTTCCTGCACCCTATACAGCACCCATCATGCTATAAAACAAAACATTGCCTCAATTGAAGTACCATTTTCAAGTTATCTTTATCAGTTATGCTTCAGAACTCAATTGCATGAAGAATAGCAGGTACAGTCATGTTATTTGTTAGTTGATATAAGGGGCCTCGGTGGCCGAGTGGTCTAAGTAGTTACTACTGTAATCACTAGCCAGTCAACACTGAGGTTGTGAGTTCGAACCCCGCTCGTGTGGGTGCACTCGAATCCAATCTTAATTGACTAGGATTGTCAGTTTTCCTATCGAAGGTCGGTGGTTTTCTCCGGGCACTCCGGCTTACTCCACCAATAAAAACTGACCGCCACGAAATAGCCCAAAAGTGGTGCTTAAAAGTGGCGTAAAAACACCAAAAATCAAAAATCAAAAATCAAATGTTAATTGATATCAAAACTACAGGAATTTGAATATTAAAGTTTTTTTTTTTATATTTGTATAGGTTTAGATACTTATCAAGTCATGAGCCTTCTTCGACAGCCAGAAAACAGGGCTTCTGCAAGATCCCTGTTCAGTGGGAGGGTAAAACCCATCACAGTTGGAAAATTTAGAAAACTTCTAAAATTTAAATATGCAGAGGGAAATGCTAATCAGGACCAGAGGGCCACTGGGATAGGTTTCTTGACATTCCTTCAAGCCACCAAGGGTTTGTATATTTGTCAGGACTTTTCATTTCCTCTTTAGTTTTGTAATATAAACTTGTAAGTGTCTCTGTTCCTCAATTTTATAAAACATTATTTAAATCAAAATGTTTTAAGAAATCAAATAATATGCAATTATATGAAATAAAAATCATGTTATATTGTGCTAGATGAATTCCTTTGCTTCTGATGTTTGCTGTTCACATTTTTAATCTGAGCGTCATTGATGAGTCTTAATGTAGACGAAACGCGCGTCTGGCATGACATGACAATTTTATAAGGTCTTTGAATCACAAGATATATAGGTAGTTAAGCACGAAATACTAATAATAAACATAAGGAAAATAAAATTATATTATATATGATAATGTATTTTTAGCAAGTTATAAAATGAAAGCATGATGTATAACAAATGATAAATTTACATATTTAAATGGTGGTACTCTGCAATTGTCATCAAGGAAAGCTAAATCTTATGTTGTTGTTTTGTCTTAATGGAACCATACTATCCAAGCATTTCTTCAAACTCTTTATTTTCTTCTATCTTTTCTTAACGCTCTTTCTTTCCTTTGTATATTAAAGGGACATTGCTGTTATTGCTGCTGTATCATTAGCATTGGTATTGACTGTTTCTTCTGCAGATGGAATTTATGCAACCCTCCTCTTTCTATATTGGTATTCAGCCTCTGTGGACTTTCTCTTACGCTTCACAACATGACCAGCGTCCTCAGATGGCACTTGTACGGCTCTCTTACTGTTTTAGGTGTTGGAGTGCTGACGCCATAGGATGTTGGCCACATCTTTGTTCGTGTTGTACTTGTTATTGTACCAGTTGTTACATCTGCTACAAAT